TGGACAATACTCTCCCCTCCCAAATTAAAATAACCCTCCAGCATTGAAAGGAAAAAGGACATATGGTCATCATTTTGAACGATATGCAACTATGGAAGTTATATACTTGATATGTATATCACATTTTACAAGTTCATTTGCTGGAAACTGCAGTTTAAAGAATATCTGATAAAGTTCTATAAGGCCCAGAAAGCTATTCCAGCTGAAATAGATCAACACACTAGGTGGATCAGCTCATGCAAGGCAAAGATATGTATGTTCCTACTTCAGAAAATATTCATTAAGTCCTTTATGCATAAAAGCCCAATTAATACATTAAACCTAACAATAGTGGAACAGAATAGAATACTTTATTTGGCCAGATATGATTAGATACACAAGGAATTTGTCTCCATTACAGAAGCTTTCGATGTACGTGCAAAATAACAGAGTAATAATAATCATAATAATAACAACAAGAGAAGGTAGTAGAAAACTTGAGAAGGATAATAGTAATACAGCCATTCTTTGTTGTGCCTTTTTAATGATATCTCTAACATTAGGTGTCCATTTCAAATCCTGGGAGATTATAGAACCCCAAAACTTGAAGGACTCTACTGTTGATACTGTGTGGTCTAGTATAGTAAGAGGTGGTAGAATAGGAGGGCTCCTCCTAAAAATCCATCTCATCTCTACAGTTTTAAGCATGTTCAGCTTCAGATTGTTCCAACTGCGCCACAAGGCCAGTTGTTCAACCTCCGTCTATATGAAGACTCATCACCATCTCGAATGAAACCAATGATTGTTGTGTCATCTGCAAACTTCAGTACTTTAAGAGAGCGAGCCTTAGAGATGAAATCATTGGTACAATGAGAAAAGAGTAATAGAGAACACACAGCCCTGAGGGGCACCTATGCTAGTTGCTTGGGTATTCAATGTGATTTCCCTAGCTTCACCTGTTGCTTTCTGTCTGTCAAAAAGTTTATAATCCACCTACAAGTATGGACAGGCACAGCTAGTTGAATCAGCTTAGAGTGAAGAATTTCTGGAATGATAGTATTGAATGCCAAGCATCCCTGCATAAGTCCCTGGGGATTCAAGATGTTGCAAGATATAGTGCAGTACCATATTGACAGCATCAGCTGCCAATCTATTTGCATGGTAGGCAAACTACAAGAGGTCTAACAGTAGATTCATGATGATTCTCAGGTGAGGCCAGCACTAACTTTTCAAAGGTTTTCAAATCTACAGATTTCAGAGCAACCGGATGGAGGGTTTCTTGGGAACCAGGATGACAGTAGAGCATTTGAAGCAAGAAGGAACAAAACACACCTCTAGTGAGTTATTAAAGATGTGGGTGAAGATGGGAGTCAGTTGATCAGCACAGACTTTCAAGCAAGAAGGAGTTACTCCATCTGAGCCTGGTGCTTTTCCTCTCACATCTTTTTTTAGGATCACTAGTGGAGGGAGGCCCAGAGGGATGGAGATAGGTAAAGGAGATTTGGCTACTGTTGGTGTATTTGAGATGGGGAGGATAGCGATAGTTGACAGCGATCTCCTCTTAAACCTACAATAGAACACATTCAGGTCATCTGCCAGTTCGTGATTTTTCTCCAATAAGGGAGGGAGATCTACTGTAGCCAACGATATTCTTCAGGCTTTTCAACACATTTGCAAGTTCATTTGCCAACAACTGATTCCTCAGCTTTTCAGAGTATCTTCTCTTTGCTGCCCCGATCTTCCTTGTTAATATATTCCTGGCCTGATTGTATAGCATCATGTCTCCATTCCTATAGGCTTCCTCTTTGGCACGACGTAGCTGCTTGAGCTTAGCTCTGAACTTTTATTATTACTGTATATGCCAAAACTCTTGGTCGGCACACATATCCTCACAAAAACAGATATCGCAGTATCAGTGAGTTCATCCAAGTCTGCTGAAGCAGCTTCAAAAATACTCCAGTCTGTGCAGTTGAGGCAAGCCTGTGATTCCAACTTTGCCAATCAGTCCAAGACTGTTAACCTATATGAAAGAAATCTTCACCACTAAGTATAATTTCTCCTCTGACATACTGCCATCTTAAATGTTGAACACTACTGGAAGGCAAGTAAACATTGTTAAGTTTTAAGCACATTGTCATTAAGCAAATCTGGCTTTCCCCATTGACTTTGCATGACAGAAGCTGGCTGAGAATGTTGCAAATGATGATAATCACATGACCCTGGGACACTGCAACCGTCATAAATACATGCTGGTTGCCAAGAGCCCTGGTGGTGCAGTGGTTAGAATGTAGTACTTCAGGCTACTTCTGCTGACTGTTGGCTGCCAGCAGTTCGGCAGTTCAATTCTCACCGGCTCAAGGTTGACTCAGCCTTCCATTCTTCTGAGATCGGTAAAATCACGACCCAGATTGTTGGGGACAATACGCTGACTCTGTAAACTGCTTAGAGAGGGCTGTAAAGCACTGGGAGGTGGTATACAAGTCTAAGTGCTCAATGCCATTGCTCCCCAAATTTTGATCACGTGACCATGGGGATGCTGCAACAGTCATAAGTGCAAGGATCACATGTAAATCATTTTTTTCAGTGCCATTGTAACTTTGAGCAGTCACTAAACAAATGGTTGTTAGTTGAGGACTACACCTGTAGGGCACCAAAAATGTAATTATATCTACAAGTATTATGTAAAATTATTTTTTTTAATTTGTTTGATTCTTGCTTATTTATATTGAATGGTTTATTACTGTTGACCTAGAAACAATAAAAAAACAGAGATCATACTAAATACTGGCAATACTAGCTTCAGCAGAAAAAGATTTTTTTTTTATAATTTGGATCTCCTTGCTGCTGAACAAAATGTAAATTAATGTCTATTCTAGTTCCTAGTGTTGTGCCCAGTTATTAGCAAATGCCTAATGTGAACTGATAAATTTGGAACAAGGTACATCATTTTACTGATTATTTAATGAGATTCTGGTTTCTTTTCTTTCTTTCTTTCTTTCTTTCTTTCTTTTTTCTTTTTTCTTTTTTCTTTCCCTTTTCTGTGGCTTGGCTTGCATGAATAGTCTGAAGTTCTTTGCTCTGCAGGCACCTTTCTGCTGTACACCTGTTCCCTGTTTGTAGCATACTGTTAATCAGGATTGTTTAAATTGCCTAGCTTTTTCTGCTTCCGTGGTTTAATTCAAAAGTCTCTTTCCCTCTCTCATTTTGATAGTATTGGCAGAAAGCATTTTTACATTTTACATTCAGCAAATCATTCTGTGGATTAATTTGAGAAGCTTAAGGACAAATGATTTTAAAAATATGTATACTTGAGTTCTACTTCAACTTTTGACTTTGTCTTTGAACATGCTGTGTAGGTAATTAAATATTTGCCTTGGGGAATTATTTACAATTAATTAAAATCACCAACTTTTGATGCATTCCCATTTTACAGATTATTAAACTTTGATCAGATGTTAACTGCCCAGGTTTCCCCTACATCCCACAAAGATTGTATTTGGCAGCCTTTGGAAGCTGTTACTTTCATGCTATTCTTTAGTTCATTGCTTAGTGCTAGATAAACTTTAATAAACATGGATTTATGGAAGTTACTCCAAGTTTCAGTATGGATGCGACCCAGCTAGAGATAAAATAGCATTAAGGCTGATGTTTTGAAAGAACAACACCTTTTATTGCATAGATTGCATACCATTACAATAGCTACCATAAATATTGAGTCTATTATTTAATAAATCATATACATTAGGAATGGCAATTTGGTCTTCTCCAGGTATTTTACATTTCAACTACACCATTTCTTGTCATTAGCTTGGGTAACTGGAATGGAATTCCAAGTCTCTATGTTAGGAAAAACCATGAGATATATGGAGATGGATAAGTTTCAAAAGGAGGAAAGTCAATCCGAGATTCTCATTTACTGTGAGACTCCCATCTTCATCACAGTGTATAGTTTCTCTTAAAGGAGAGGAACAATACCTTCAATACAGGGATTTTGCATTTTTTGGACAAAAGTACACAGAAGCTGGGATAAGAGGATTCAGATTTAGTTCCTTCTTTTGATTCCCATCTTCATTCCTTCAAGCATGGCTTCATTCCTTCAAGCATGGGTTTTGCGTGTTGAGCTGATCAAGCAAGGACTACTACATATCCAGTGCCGGATGCTGTATTTGGAGGAGTTTGTTCTGCATAACATTTCTTTACGTACCTAGACAGTTATTCCTGGATTGTGAAGTTTACTCAGTGGTTTATTTATAGAGAGTAAAAGCCAAGCCTCCTTTTCTAAACTGCCTATTTCTAGAAATGACAGGATTTTTTTTCCATGTGGTGGAAGAAAAGGTAAATTGTAGCATAAGCATGGAATAGAGACCTCCCCCCCCCTCTGGTTTATTTAGAATTGGAAAAATAACATGTCAGAAGTCTTTACCTGTTGTGCCTGAAATGATTTCCAGGGAAGGAAAAGGAGAGCATGGTGGCTTCCTCCTTTAAGGAGACCATCTGAATGTTGACAAGACCACCCAAGTCATGATGCTGAATTATTTTTGTCCAGAGTGAATTGTTCCAAAATACAAGGGTCTATGGGTTACATTTTATTTTCCATGTAAAACTCAGTTCATTCTATTATTAGGGAAAGAGTTATTTGTGAAATCACCAAGACTATACCATCCCTACCTTGGCAATCCTAGGATCAAGTACCGTTTTTGTTATCTGCATAATCCTTATTTTGAGTTTTTGCTTAATCACGAGATGTTTCAAAATTTCAGGAGAATGAATATGATTGCAAATTCTATTAAAGTGAAATAGATGAAGAAGAATATAATCTAAGTGTGTTTCTAAATTTGTTTGTGGTTTGTATATTAAAAATACAAAGCTTGTATTCATTGTAACTTAATGTAATATAATATCAATCAAACAAACATTTTGAAAATTATTTTAAATACCTTTAAAGCAATGAGGGTTCATAAAAAGTGCTCAGAATATCTATAGAGAAACAATGTCATTTTACTTGTTTTATTTTTCTGTAGAATCCCCAGCTATAAAAGAGCATAATCCAGTGCCTCATGCAACCTGTGAAGAAGATCAAGCTGATGGTATGTCTTTTAAAATCCTTTACAAAATCATAATGAATAGTTTGATGGGATCACTGGTTCTTTTCATTAATAAAATCAATTTGCCTCTTCACATCTTAAATCAACATATTTCATACATGGCTAAGAGCAACACCCCAAAAATTCAGTAATCAATTTTGGTGGTGTAATCTCTAATTTTGTTCTAATCAATATCATATTTATTAGAAATGAAGATGAGTTTTTCTCCCCAAATGTGATTTAAGAATGGGGTCATCTTACATGCTTTGAGAATAAAGAAAGTGAACAGGAGACAGTTGAAAGGCAACTAGCGAAAGTGACTGAAATGAAGCCGAGCAAAAGAAGAGAAGAAGCTGCTATTATCATAAGTCCATAGGGACAGATACAATCACCCTTCCTTCTCTTTGTTACCCTTTGTCAACTTCTCAATACGGATGGAAACGAAATGAGAATGAAGCTAGCATGCTAACTGAATAAGGCTGAAACTCCTGTGCAAAACTTACCTGAGAGTAAAAGATACTGAATTCTGTGAGATTTGCTCTACAGTAAGATTGGAGAGGGTCCCTTGTATTTGCAGCCCAACACAAAGGCTTCTATCGGCCACCAAACAGGCCAAGCCTATAGATGCCTTAGAGAGAAAGTGTCATGAACTAAATGGTACTTAGGACACAATAAGGATGCATGAAAAAAGCTCAGGACCATATAGATTGGAAACATGTGGAAAAGGCCTTCATCCTGCAGTGGACAGACAATGGCTAAAATGATAATGAAACATGCATGAGCCCAGATAGCTTCTCCTCCCCTCTCTGAAGTACAATAGTTTGTATGTGAAATATTTCTGTGCAGGTAGGGAATAAAATGATTTTGCAAACCATTAATTTACAGAGAATTCATTTTATCCAATAGTCATTAATTCAATTCACTAGCATGATGACGTTATCTAGTTTGGGTAATGAAACATCTGCAAGAAAACAGTCAAGCTCAGAGATCACCAAGGACCCTTCATTTCAACCCTGAGCTACAAATATTCTTCTTTTTCAGTATCAATTAACACCATTTTTTTTCACCAGCCCTGCTTTTCTAGAGAAGGGCATGTGGCATGCATTTGTTTCTCTCTGTCCTGAATCTGGGTAAAAAAAGAACAATAGCACTGGAGATAACCTAGTCCCTCTTTATAACTCTGTGACAGACACACATACTCATTTATTGAATTGATTTCAGTTCCCCTAGTTATCAGAGTAGGAACTGGGCAGTGTGCGGACATTTTGCATCTTTATGTCTATCTTCCTGTATGGCTGTCTTAAATAGAAGAACAATTTCCTTTCAGTGAAATAAGGTGGCCTTTTTATCGCTAAAAATTTCTTAAATTAAAACTGCACATTAGTGTCATACTGACATCATTTTCCATTCTTTAATACAATAGGACTGCAAGATGATTCCTCAGAAGTTGAAATGAATACTCAGGCAGATTCTCAGATCTCTTCCATGGAAGCTGAAGGTAGTTTTTGTTCAAAAGAAGGGAGGAAATGTTCAAAATAGTCAATCATTTATTTATAAAGTCCATACCATTTGAAAAATTATTTTTAATTATGAGTAGTATTTAAATATAGATCTGGGGAACAAATGTCTTCTTTAGATTCTAGATTGGGACCCTGAACAAGGAATAATAATTGTATATTCCAGAGAATTTCTACTACTAAAATAGTTTTATGGAAATATGTATTATTCCCCTTGCTGTGTCTGTTAAATCCTGTTAGGTTTTACTGAATAGTCCAACCATCTTTTCTATACACGATCTTTAGTTGGATTCACTAAAGCAACATGCTACCTAGTATAACCCTTATTACCATGTGGTGTACTATTTGAGAAAAATGTTGTAAAGTTATACTAATGGTATCTCCCGACCACTATTCTGTATAATCTCCCCCAATACCTCTTTTCAGATACTTTGATAACTCAGGAGGAGACAATAAAGGAAGAGAAATCTCAAGGTCCTGAAGTAGATAAAACTAATCAAGAGAGCAAAGGACAAGATAAAGGTAAGATGGTGTGTAAATGTAAGATAGCAAACTTGATGTGAATTACATTTCTCCTTTGGTTGATAGGCATGTAAAGCATGACTTCCTTCCTTCCTTCCTTCCTTCCTTCCTTCCTTCCTTCCTTCCTTCCTTCCTTCCTTCCTTCCTTCCTTCCTTCCTTCCTTCCTTCCTTCCTTCCTTCCTTCCTTCCTTCCTTCTGCAAAATACAGGACAATAAGGATTAAAAAAAAAGATTTTCTGAGATGGATTCAAAATTATTTAGGGAAAATAAATAGTATTCTAATTAGAAGAGTAGAGTATTTGCTAAGCTCTTGGGATGTATTAAGGACCCAGTTGACAATTCCATTATGAGGACTTTTTTTTTTAAAGTTCATTTGCATGGAATACATGTGTCTAGCTTATGCCCATTGGTTCTATGCAATTGTTGTTTGTCATCAAATGGACATTCCCTAATTGTAAAGCACTTACTTTTAAGAACAAGGACTTCCTTTTATACAGAGATTAAATAATTTAAAATAAAAATTAGCCATGGTCTTTACTGAAAATCCAGGTCATTGCTAATTATAGCTTTGTAACAATGAATTTACAGAGACGATGGTTTAATTGCAAACCCATATTCGTAATATTGACACTTTTCTACATTGGAAACTTAAGTTATAGCACTTACCTTCTTCACTGCGCATATCCAGCTTCACAACATTTTCATTTTTTTTATTGCATTGCAAATCCAAGTTGAGACTAATCACACCTTCTTTATTCTGCCTGATGTTAATGGTATCAGAGTTGTGTTTCATTACTGACAGTGATAATAGAATTGATATAATCCTTCCTGCAAATCCAGGTAAATGGTGTTATTCTTTTCTTTTCTTTTACTTTTTTTTTGCAGAGCTAGCTTAGGGAATGCAAACTCATTCAAGCTGCAAATGCCAAAACCATTATGCTAATTTCCTCTGCACAGAAATTATTTACATTTTGTTTTATGCCTCATCAGAAGCAAGGCAAATCAAATGTACTTTCATTATTTGTACCTTTCCTTCTAACACTTTTCTGTCCCTTACAGTTTGCATTTAACACCCAGTGGGGGCATTATATTTCACCATCTGTTCTATCTAAGATTCAGATATGGAGTATTTGAAAAGTTAATGTCCAATCCTCCTTTCGACAGATAGCGAGGTTGGTTGGTTGATTGATTAATTTGTTGGTTTTCTTGGCATCTTCTCTTTCTAAAAATAAGAGACTGCTCTCAAATGAAAAACTGATGTTTGGGTCCCCTTTATCTGCAATGTACAATTTAGGGTTCTCTTGCTGAAGCATCTCATATTTGGCAAGTGCAGACACAGTTATCTTAACTTGCATCAGAAAAATGGACAACTCTTTGCATCTCCTCTGATACCTTTGGATCAGGGCTTTTCAACCTTTTCACCCATTGTACCACTTTTAAGATATGGCAACATCCGAGTACCACCAGTCGCCTAGCAAGGTGTCAAAAACTTGATGACCAAAAAAAAAGGGAAAAAAGTGATAAAGTACAGGTAGTCCTCGACTTACAACAGTTCGCTTAGTGACTGTTCGAAGTTACAATGGCTGGGTGGTTGCAGCAGGTTTTGGTCACTTCACATGACCCTGGGACACTTTGACCGTCATAAATATGAATCAGTTGCCAAGCATCTGAATGTAAATCACAAGACCCTGGAGAGGCTGCAACATTCCAGCTGATTGGTGCTTCTTGTGGGCTCAGCAGAAGCACCAGGATCAGTGCCGAGCTCCAGCTGGAGCCTGGTACTGATCCTGGCACTTCCACTGAGCCCTGACAGCCCTGCAGCTCCAGCCATCTCTTGCTCAGGCTTGTGTGGTGCTGCCACTGGTTCAGCTCATTCCCCTCCTCCGCTACCACTTTTCTAGGATGGTCGCGTACCACCTGCCATGTGCCAATGTACCACAAGTGGTACCCGTACCACTGGTTGAAAAGCCCTGCTTTGGATCATACTGTAGAGCTGTAAACTAGAGATTGGCTAATTACTCCATTTCATTTTGGGTGCTAAAACTGGATCACTAGGAAGAGTTTATCACTGAAGAGTTAAATAAAAATAACATTGGAGGCAATTAATATATTTTACATATTTTAGATATAATTAATTATGTAATCTCTTTTCTATGGTTTCTGCTCAGCTTATACAATCCAGCAGAAGTGAGCTGCATAGATCCCTTCCATTACGCAGTGACATCTGTCGGGATCTAAAAAGCATGCCTTCTCTCTTGCAGCACCTGCCCTCTGGAACATCTCCTATCTCCAAATATACCCACACCCTACCCTGGCCATGTTAAAAAGTGTCCTGAAAATTTGACCCTTCCCCCAGGTTTTGAGTTAGAGTAAGTGGCAGGTACTAAGGGTTTTATTGCTTTTACATTATTGTTTTTAGAATAAAATAGAATATTCTTTATTATCCCTTATTAATATTCTTTATTTATTCTAAACATCTGGGTTTTTAATTGTATTTTAGGATTGATTTCATTGTATGCTACCCAGAATTGTTATAGAATTAGGTAGACAGAAAGAGAAGAGAGAGAGGGAGGGAGAAATGGATGCCTTATGATTTTAGGCTATTGTGTTCTATTCCAGCAGGATTTAAGTTGTATTGCTTATAGTCCTTTATTTCAGGTTTCTGGAAATTGAAACTTGGCCATTCTGAATTTTCCAGACTGAATAGAAGTATCCAATTCAGCTAATACACTGTTGCTCCCTGACTTTTCCCAGCCTGGAGTTGAGGGACTCTTTCTATGTGATGGAATGTTTGAATTGGTTTACTTTGCTTAGTAAGAAGTGCCTTTCTGCTTGCCTACCACATCTTTGGATCCAAATAAAAGTTTTGACTCTATACATAGTATGGAGTTGCCTCAGCAAAGCTTGAGAGAGTTTGTAGAGACAGAGTCTATTACAAACAACTGTTATTGTATATTATGGATTTGCTTAAATATATCTTAGCAAGAGAATATAGAATATAGAATTCTTTATTGGCCCAGTGTGATTGGACACAATTTGTCTCTGGTATATAAGCTCTCACTGTACATACAAGCAACATGTGATAAATCATGAACATAACCATAAAATAGAATTATTATAAATCATAAGATACAAACTTAATGATAGCCATAAGATACTAAATAAGTAAACAACATAAATCATAATAGGATACTAAATAAAGGCAATCAGTATAAACCATGAGAATCAAAGTTATAGTCATAAGAAGCTAAGAAAATAGGTAATAGGAAAGATGAAAAGATGAGAAGGATAATGGGTAATACAGCCCTACTAGATGGTTTGACATCCTAGGGCATAGACAGTGTTGTGGGAATTAGCAGAGTGACGGCATAGGGGGGGAAACTGTCTTTGTGTCTGGTTGTTTTGGCATGCAATACCCTATAGTGTCGTCTTGAGGGAAGAAGTTGAAACAGTTTATGTCCAGGATGTGAGGGGTCTGTAGATATTTTCACAGCCCTCTTTCTTGCTTGTGTAGTATACAGTTCCTCAATGGAAGGCAGGCTGGTTGCAATTATTTTTTTCTGCAGTCCTATCTGTTGAAGTCTGTGTCTTGTTAGGTTGCTGTGCCAAACCAGACAGCTATAGAGGTGGAAATGACAAACTTAATAATTCCTTTATAGAACTGTATCAGCAGCTCCTTGGGCAATCTGAGCTTTCTGAGTTGGCGCAGGAAGAACATTCTAGTTATGATCACAACAGTATTGGTGAAATGAGTCCCAGAATGCATGTGCAATAAAAAAAACAGATCACCGATTTTATTGTTTTTGATGATGACTCAGAACACAATACTAGATCTTTTCTTATTTATCAAAACTTGTGTAAAGCTGACCCTGTCGATATAACCTTGGCTTACATTAGGCACCTCTTTCCAATAGTTGATTCTGCCATCCAGTCTAAGAGGGCCTGCTGAGATTTCTCCTTCCCTGGGAGGTATATAGGACCAGTAGCAGACCTTTTCTATATCTCATGCTCTGGAACATGCTTTCCATGGAGGTTGTTTAGCTATCTTCCTCTTGGGATTCTGCAAGATAGTAAGGTCATTGTATTTTAATTGTGCTGTTAAGTCCTGATTAACTGGGGGTGTTCTCTTGCAATGTACATTTGTTTTTGTTCTGTTCCACCTTGATTGCTTTTTGTTTATTTTTCAAACATGCATGCTTCAGCGTATGCTGCCCAGAGTCTTGTGGGTGGGACACACTACAAATATTACAAGTGAATAAACAAAACATAAATATCTAAGAATGTTTTAAGGGGAAAATTATTAGCAGGACTACATATCTGAATTACCAGATCTGCTGCAAAAGTTGCTATCAGGACTCTGTATTATATTTAGGCTAACTGAAGCAAGCAATAAATAAACACTGAGAATTGGTGCAATTTTTCTATTGTCAAGTTGTGAGGAATTAAACCACGCTTGCTTTGCTAAAAGCACTTGGTTTCATAGAGTTACAACTGCAGACATTTGTGGGCCTCTGAGGAAGACTTGTCCCCTCTAGCAAATATATTTTTTATTGATGGAGAAGCACGTCTCACTTATCTTCCTTGGATATTTATCTAAGTAGACAGGATTAGGATTTCCCATTTAACACTCAGAGAACACCTTCTCAGTGAGATACTGAAGAGGAAGTCAAGGAATAAATATTGCATAATCTGTGTCATTAGTGCTGAACCTGCCCATTTTCATTCAGAGTTACAACAAACTGCATTTTGATTAGCATAAACCCAATATGAATTTTTGAACATTAAAACGACTCTTTCCAAGTGAGACGTTTGTTCCATTATCTGAACCTTTCTAATGGGGTTTAAAATAAAATTAATTTAATATTGGTTGATATCCTATCCTGTTTTCCCTTTGCTTCCAGAGGCACAAACCTCTGGGATGTCTGCCAATCAAATCAACTAATCAAATATCATCCTTCCTTCACCCCTCCCCTTCCAAACTGATCAATTAAAGATTTTA